TAGCCTAACCCTAACCCTGTATTAGACCCAACCCCAGCCTAAACTTAACCTGAACCTTGCTGAATAAAAAACAGATCAAACTGTACTGTAGCTGTTCTGTAAATACCTCCTTTGCTTTAATATTTTACATTTTATACTTATATTTATATACATATTTATCTTTTCTTTCACGTTATTTTATCTTATTTTATTTTTACTTGTGTATTGCTGCCAAAAAAGGGACGCTACGACATTTCACTGCTGTACCACCGTCTTTTTAGCATTGCTTCCACAGTGACAATAAAGAACTGTTCTATTTTATTCTATTCTATTCTAACTGCCTTTTTTCTGTCTTCTCCAGACATGAGATGAAGATGTGCATCACCGTGGAAACCTGCTGTATTTATTTGGCGTTTTGCTGAAAATCTGAAAGTTTCTTTAAAAACGGCATCAACAGGAAGCTTCATCAAGGTGGTGGCGCCGCCCTGAGACTGTCCCTGAACAAACAGCTGAAGGACGTTTGTGTGAAATGTTGGAGAGCTCCAGAAGAGTTCGGTCTGAGTGTAACGGACTTCTTTGTTGTGAGAAAATAAATGTTGGAATTAAACTGTTGTGTGAATAAATAAAGCCAAACCCGGCTGTGACATCAGAATCTGAACATTAAACTTCATACTGAACAGATAAAAAGTTCTGATGAGAATAATTCAACAATAAAACATAAAAACAATCAACATTTATTATTCATCAACGTTAAATGCAATTTATAACATATGTGAAATGAATATGAAGAAATCTTTAAATTGAACTAAATATTGTAAAGAAATGTAAAAAGGGTTAGTTCAACTGCGTGAAGCATCACTCTGATGAAAACACAACTTCCTGCTGAACACTCACACAAATACACCACAGAGCCAAAGAAACAGGATCACAGGAATAAATAAAGACATTTATATATATATAAATATACAAGGCCACAGGAGAGCCATGGTGGGGTCATGAACCCCACCAGCAAGTCCTGGCAGAGTAAAGAGCCACCACCAAGGCCGGATTAACCATATGGGCAACTGGGCAATTGCCCAGAGGCCCACGACCTCTTAAGGACCCAGGGCAGTAAGGGCACAAGCAAAAAGTACTGTATGTGGTCATCTCCAGCTTTATGTGAAGCTAACTCTCCACCAGAGACCTTCCGCTGCAGCTTCTGACTTTGAACATGAGTGTCAGTCTTATACGGACTGACCAATGACGAGAGGGCCTCAAGTGAAGAGCTCCTCATCATTGGTCAGGCCGCATGAGGCGGGTCAAAGGTGACGCTGATCAGCCAATGATCAACGTACACTGAGCGGGTTAAATGACGTCAAGCGTTGCTACAACAGAAAATAGCCACGGAGAAGCTACGTGGGAGCGCAAACCGGAAATGAAGAAAGAAGGACATCAGAAACGCAGAAAACTAAAAGCATCTTCCTGAAACAGGCAGTTTCTTCACTCCCGGTAATGTGACAGTTCTGTGAAGTCTCAGTACTCAGCGGGCCACGACTCTTCACTTGAGCTGCACAGATCATCACAACACCGGCAGCATCTGCAAACAACGACCCGGAGTCTGCTGCGAGCGCGACCGTTGAGGGAAGCGGTGATGACGGGTGTCCGGTCTCACCGCCACCTGAGGAGGCATCTCAGCTCATCTGCTCCCCGGGATCCTGCCCTGCGGGGGCCCGTTACGGAGCAGCTGCGGGAAGAGGACCTGCAGCTTTCCAGAACCGGGCTGCCAAGTATCCTGCATCGGTAAGGGAGTCCGGACTTGGGAGCAGAACACGCTCCCTCACTAACGATTTGCTGGTTGCTTATTTATTTTACTTCCTCCCTCTCAATGGAACAATGACTGATGACAGAGATGCTGATGTGTTTTGTTTTCATAGCATCACATGACAGGACTCAGGAGTGTGTTTCTAGTTTTATGAGCATTTCAATATTTTGTGCATCAAAATATACCTGACAGTTAGAATTTGAGGTACTGAGCATGTTTACAGTATATTACGGTAATTTATTGTGTATATGGCCAGATTGTGGAGATCCTGGGGCCCTTGAGTACAACGAGGTGTTGATCTGGGCCTGGCCACCACCCCCGCTGTCCCAAGACTGTCTCCAGCTGGGAAATAGGCTTAAAGCTCTGGAGAAGCTGATGTCTCCAACGCCCGGTGCAGCTGCCCTCCATCCTCCTCTGCTCCTCACGAGCCTCCAGGACAGGAGAGACTTTCCACCGCTGCCCGGGGCATCTAATCCTGGACTCGGACGCTCCACCCTGGTCTCAACCCAGCCCGGATCCCGACAGGAGGCCTCTTCCTCACGACGACGGCTGCTGAAGGAGGCAGTTGACCGACACCTTGCCGATGCTGGGCTGTCCGCGGACCGCTCTCGCCCCGGAACCGGGAGGGAGCCCCCAGCCAGCGAGGGAGGCGCATCACCGGCGTTCCTCCACCGGACCCGCTCCACAGCTGCCTTCAGTTCTGATCGTAGGAGACTCCATCATCAGGGACGTCAGGTCCAGTGAGGCTGTCACTCACTGCTGTCCTGGAGCCAAGGTAGACCACATTCTGACGGAACTCCAGAGTCTTATGGCCCAGTTTCCCTCCGCTAAAAAAGTAGTGCTACATGTTGGCACGAATGACATCCGGAGCTTTTAAAGGAGGATTTCAAACTGTTCCACGACCTTCAGCGAACTGACAGAGAGGTTTTATCTCTGGGCCGCTCGTTTCTCCACTGAGCCGAGGTTCTGCTCACCGCCCCACAGGCTGAGGACCAAAGGGGGCCTTTTCTGTCAGAACCCCCCCTCTGGACCAGCCTCCCTGAGGAGATCAGATCTGCAGCACTTCATCCTCCTTTAAACTCTGTTAACAAGACATTTATACAGACGTGCTTTTCCAGGAGCTGCTCTATGAGCGGACTTTTACTCTGATGGCCAGAACATTTTACCTTCTGTTTTAGTCCTTTATTGTCTTTTAATGGTCTTCTTTGACTGGGTTTTATTCCTCTTGTATATTTTTATAGTGTTTTATTGTCTTTCATGCTTTATGTGCTTCACCTTCACCATTTTTTATTTATTTATGTATTTTTTGCCTTTGTCTTCCTTTAATGTTGTTCTTACACTTCTCTCTGAATCTGTGCAGCACTTTGTAACCCTGTTTTGAAAAGTGCTATAAAAATAAAGTTTATTATTATTGTTGTTGTTATTATTATTATAAACGTGTCAAAACGGAGTTCAGATGAAAGAATTTGAGTTTATTTGGTTAAACAAACGGTTCAACCTGAGAGATGTGATCCCGACCCAACCCACACCAGAACCGAACCGAGACATTAGAAAAGGACAGCAAAGGAAATGGTCTGAAGCTCAGTCAGAAGCGTTGCAATGTTGCTGAGCAGCCAGAAGGAGGCGCCAACAGCAGCATGAGCACGACAAACACACAAAGGTCCCCATAAGTCTGTTAAAACCCCAGTTCAACCAACAAATAGCACCAGTTAAGTTAAAACATGGCGGGTAAATATGATTGGCTGTCTGTGGAGCGTCCTCCTGTGATTGGCTGTCTGTGGAGCGTCCTCCTGTGATTGGCTGTCTGCTCCGTCCTGCTGCCCTTCGCCGCGCCTTCCTGGTGCTACTTCCGGTCGGACACCGGGACCGGAGCCGCTGAAGCACACCGACAGCAGGCGGAGTCCATCCCCGACACACAGCACTGCTCCCCGGACAGAGCGGCGGGCAACAGCCGGGAGCGACGCAGCGGCAGCGGCCAGGATCGGGCTGGACGCTCGCTGAGCGCAGCGGGGACGGAGCGGTGAGTGTGGCCGAGCTAACGGTGCTAGCGGGCGGCCGGCGGGCGGGCGGGTATTCCTGCTAGTTTATCGGCTGGTAAAGGCCGAAAATACGCAGCGTCAACGGGTTCTGGCCCTAGCCCGACTCGGTGTGGGGAACCGGCGACTGTCTGGTTTACGGTTCGTTCACCGAACCAGGAACGGAGTGGTTCCATTATCGGACCAGCCGCCGCTGAGCTCGTCCATCTTCTACCGAACCAGCTCTAGTTACGGTGGTTCCATTATCGGACACTACTCTCCTGCGGTGACGCTCGCCATTTCAGAAACGAAGCTGTCTCCGATTGGCTGCAGGGCTGATTTCAAGGCTAATTATTCTTTAATTATCGCTCACACCTGAAGCAGCGGAATTGTGGCTTGTTAACGGAGCTGTCCGGTAATGGATGCAGTCCTCCTTTGTGGAGGGAAATCTTTCTGTTTTCTGAACAGAGCTGCAGCGTAAAGGGCACAGAGACCCGAACCCGAACCCCAAAGACCAAATGTTTAGTTTCCATCACAGTTCTGCTTTGACTCCTGCTGAGCTACAAAAGTTCAGATCAGACCAGACCCCTCTGGATCACACTGAACCAGAGCTCCACCCCCACATCTGCTGATCATGACAACAGGTGGGTCCTGGTCCTGACCCTGACCCTGACCCACCTTCAGTTCATTTTGCTCTGTTTGGACTAAAATCAATAACTGATTGATTGATAAACTATCAGCTTGTTGTTGGACTAAAACCGTCACGTCTTCTTCTTCTGTGGTTGTAATTCAGGTGTTTCGGGAGCTGCGGGGTGAATCGGTTGGCCGGAGACCCCGGCAGGGACCCCGGCAGGGACTCAGACGGTCCGGCGGTTCTGGTTGGTCCGCGGTGAGGGAGTGAGTGAGGTCAGGAGCTGGGTCAGGATCTAATCCTCTAAGAGGCTTTGCGGCTAAGTTTGGCGCTGTACCTCGAAGCTCTGCCGCCATGATGCAGATCTGCGACTCCTACAACCAGAAGAACTCGCTCTTCAACGCCATGAGCCGCTTCATCGGCGCCGTCAACAACATGGATCAGACAGTGATGGTGCCCAGCCTGCTGCGGGACGTCCCACTGGACGACGGCGCTGACCCGAGGCCGGCAGGTCCCGATGGCGCCGCCTTCTTCCGTCACGACATGTACAGCTCATACGTCCTGCTGAAGTCCATCAGGAACGACATGGAGTGGGGCGTCCTGCAGGGTGACGAGCGGCGCCGGGACAAGGTGGCGGAGGACGACGACCTGGAGAAGCAGTTCCACTTCCACCTGAACGGACTCCACAAGGTTCTGTCCAAACTGACGCAGACGGCCGACACACTGACGAGCCGCTACAAGGAGGAGATCGGAAGGAAGTGACCGAACCGACCCGGAGCCACTTCCTGTCGGTTCAACACGTTCAGACCTCCCTTCGTTCTCGCCGTCCGTCAGCTGTTGGGCCTCAAACGTCTTGTTCAGTCGATCATAGCTGAGACCTGATCAACGGCGGTGGCGCTGCTGTCGAAGCTCAGTATCGGCTCTGGTGTAGAAAAACGATCGATGACGTAAACCGTGACAGAAACAGCAAATATTTACAGATCCTCCAGAAGATTTGCTGCTTTTCTTTCCTAAAATCTTCACAAACTGTTGCTTTGACAGTTTTGTGAATTTTAACAAACTAATCGATGAAGTTTGATTTTATTCGTCCACTGAAAACACTGAAACGTGACAAAACAACATTGTGGAACTGTTCTATGAGGACTGGAAGGACACGTCCGACCTTCAGTTTCAGTGTTCCGTTCTGTTTTGTGCAGAATTCTCGTTGGATCTGAGAACTTTGGATCAGAACCATTTTAAATGTAAAGCGTTGAGACTAAAAAACACCAAACAGTCAGAAAATGTTGTCTTCTGTTCGATCAGCAGCGCCCCAAAGTCAAAGTGTCCTTGAACGCAGCAGTGAGGCTCCACAAACCAACCGGCTCTTCGTTGGTTCGGAAGAAGGCTTCTCCAGATGATCCGACTCTTTCCGTGTGTCGGCTGGTTTTCTTTGCACTTTGTTTTCAGTCTTTTCGTTGTTTTTTCTTCTTGCTGCAAATTCAGAACTATGCAAACAGCAGCTCGGACACGAGTCCAGCGGCTGCAAACTCAAGAAAACCTGTTTTGATATTTTCGTAGCGTAACAACGTTTCAGCGTTTATTGTGTTTCCATGAATTTCAGCTGATGGACAGAAACCTGACAGTCGAGGAATCTTCAGTTCGAGGATTTTCAGTTTTAGAAATTTTCGTGACTAAACAGTTGATTTTTAGTGAGCGATGTTAATGAAAGAGATTTTGTTGGACGGATGAGCAGCGACGAATGAATTAATGATAACTGGATGCATTCATTCATTCTTCCAGTAATTGGTGGAGTTGTTGCCGTGCTGTGCTGTACCGGTCGGGTTAAGGCTAACCCTAAACCTGACCCGTGGTTAAACTCCACCGGTCAGGTTTGGGTTGTGGTTATAGTTATGGTTAGTCCTAGCCTTAACCCGACTGCTGGAGTTTAACCACGGTGCAGGATGAGGGCTAAGACTAACCCTG